CGCGGCAAAAAGCCGCGTGGCCGGCGCCGGGGGAATGTAAACACCGCGGCGCCGGCAGTTTGGGCCCGGCCGCGGTCCGACCGGGTCGGGCCCGGGTTCGGGCCTGGGTCCGGGCCGGGGGTCCCGCCGTCTGCGCTCCAGCCGTGCGCGCGCATTGTCCCTCCTTGCACGTCCTCCCCGCCCCCGAGACGCAGGGTTCCGGCCCTGAGTCGGGGCGGGGATGTGCCCAAGGTCACCGCGCCGGGTCGCCGGGCCTAGAATCAGGGCCTCCAGCAAGCTGCCGGGGCTGGGGCCCCCCGCGGAACAGCCGTTATTCCTGGACGCAGGTCCAGCCATCTACCGGCGCACGCATGCATTCATTCATTCATTCGACTCATAGGCGCGCACCTCCCATGTGCGTCCCTGCCCCGCAAACCGAGCATCAGAAGACCTCGCTATCGCTGGGGTTCCACGTGGTCTTCTCTAGTTTAAAGGCTTCCGACTGCTTCTCATCAGCTTCAGTATCAAATCCACAGCCCCTGCGGTGGTCTCCCAAGCTGCACCTGAACCGGCCCTCGGCCCCTCTCAGACCTCCCCTTCGACCCCTCCCATCACAGCTCCAGCCACCCTCAGTCCTTTCTCACCTTAGGGCCTTGGAACTTGTCACCTGCTCTGACCCCCTTGGGCTGCTCGCGCCCCTCCCCCCCAATTTCAAGGTCTTCAGTGACCGTTTAATCAAAGCCCCGCCCCCTCCCCAGGACTTCCTCTCCACCTCATTGTCCTGCGTGGTTCCTTCACGGCACTTGCCACCATGTGTCTCTTGCTCCTTGGCTTGTTGCCTTGTTTGGTGTCCCTCTCCCTACCTTGCCTGACCTCTGCACTGCTGTATCCCTCAGGTCTTGGCATAGTGCCTGGAGGAAGGGAGACACATCCTATCTGTGAACGAATCCCTGAAAAACATACACGGACCTAACTTGTGGAGCTTACAGGCTGATGAGAGAGGTAAGTACAGGATAAGGTAACTTCAAACCACTCAGGGTTCTCAACTTCTAGAAGTGTGTAGCAGAGGGCCTCTGAGCACTCCCAAGGGCCTTCCTGATATATGGTCTCAGTCCTGCACTCCGCTCCCCGTGACTGTTTTCTTGAAGTTAGAGCCTGGGTCTTATGGAATAGTGCAACTCTTGTCACCTCCATAAGGCCCATGCGTGCAGATTGTTGACCTCTCAAAGACTGTGAGGTCAAGGCTGCTGGGGTGGCTTGCTGTGGTTGGCTTAGGCAAGCATAGGACCCAAGTTTCTGAACTCCTTCCCCTGTACCCTTCAGCGATCACAATAATGGGTGTCATGGACAGTGACTCCAAAATGGCAGCTTTGGGCTAAATCCTTCAAAGTGTTATCTCAATTAAATGTCACGATAATCCTATAACATTGAAACTATGATTATCCTATTTCACGGGTGGCAACTATCTACTTCCTGGGGCCATTGTGAGGATTAAGTGACATAATGTAGATGAATCACTTAATACAGTGCCTGGCACATCATAGTGCTCAGCACATGACTGTTCTAACAGCGACAGACAAGACAGAATTTTCTTTAGTGGTTGTAGCAATTTACACTCCCACGAGCAAAGACCGAGAGTTCCAGATGCTTTATATCCTGGCCAGCATGTTCATCGATGGTATAATGGAGAAATAAATTTGGTACATTTATTCAACGGAATACTATACAACAACAAAAAGGAGAAACCACTGGGACATGCAGCAGTGTGACTGAATCTCACAGATGTAATGACGAACAAGAAGCCAGACACCAAAGCTCATTCCTCTGTGATTCCATTCATTTGAAATTCCGGAAAAGGCGACACGGTGGTGGCAGCGGTCAGAATGGGAGTCTTCCAGGTCCTACGAATGCTTCATGTTTTGATCCGAGTGGTAGTTCCATGGCTGCGTACATAGATAAAAATTCATTGAAGTCTACACTGACGATTTGTGCACGTTACTGAGTATGTTATACTTCAACAATTTTAACATAAAACAATTGAAGTAAAGCAAGACTAATAATCCCTGCCCACGTGGGAGTTTCCAGTCCGGAAAGGAGGCAGTCTGGTGCAGTACAAAGTGAAAAGGGCTGAGATTGGAACATTGCGAGGGGGATAGGGCTTCCCGTGGAGTTGCGGGGGAGGGCGTCCGACCTACTCTCGGATGCCAAGAAGGCTGTGTGGAGGAAGCCGCGTCTAGGCTGAAGGATGAATGAATTTGGCAGAGGCGATAGAAAAGATAGGTCCAAGGCAGCGGAAATGGCCTGCACAAAGGCTCGGAGTCCTCCGAACTTATGGCCGCTCGTCTGGGACAGCTCACCTTCGTCTGTTTGAGTTCATTTCGTTTTACGCCTGCATCCGGTTCAGAGTCCCTAGGCGTTGGTTCAGCCTTGAGGGAGACTGTGGATTGGACTAGAGGCTGCTGTGTAGGGAGAAAGCACCTCCCTCTGCCCTGAGACTTTGGTTCTTGTATTAATACCCGTAACGCCTTTGCGATGGTATGTAGTACGTAGTAAGTGCTCAATATGTCTTAACGATTGTTATTATTCAGAAAGAAATTTGGGGGGCATTTACTTAGCTTCATACATGGTTCAGGCCCCAAAGACAGTGGAAGGGGAAGGACGGGAGCCAGGATACAGGGGGTAAGCAGGGGTAAGTTCACAGGGGTTGCTAAGGGGACATCCTTCCAAGATAGGATTCCTTAATCCAGGGCCCCCAGACAGCCTTCGGGGACCGATAAGCTGCCCGCTGACAGTGCCAGCCCATGGCACATACTTGCTCAGGCAGCTGGTGCATAACTTTTACCAGCTCCTTAAAGGCGCCTAGCACAAAGTTAAGGAGCGAGGCTGCCAGAGAGGGTTGATCGGGGAAGGACTGGGCTGTGGCTGGGAGTGGAGCGGCCGAGGCCCTGCTGTCAGGCAGAGCTGGACAAATGGAGCTGCCCAGGTAAGCCGAAGAAGGGGCCTTGTGAGTCTACAGACCGGCATACCAGAAGAGGGGCCCAGCCGGCTGCACCAGTGTGAGCTGTGGGGTGGGGGCTGGGCAGGACAGGCAGAACCCAGCTCCAGGCCCCCCGGCTCCAAGTGTGGGAAGGCAGCGGAGGCCTGGCTCGTGTTCTCCCTCAGCCCTGTAAATCCGTCCGCACAGGCCGGTCGGGGCGGCAGGAGTCGCCGGCCCCCATCTGTGCTCCCACCTCTTCCTTGCGATTCCGATCAAGCCAATGCTGCGGACCGCAAGGCGGGAGTTTGGCAAACCAGTGGGTGGCCCCAGCCCTGGCCTAACCCCCTTACGCTGGAGAGCACGTCCAGTCAACACTCCTTGAGACAGAGATTCTGCTCGGTTAAAACACTCCAGCGAAAATTAAAATCGACCTTCATTCAGACTTAGGGTAAGATAGAGCAATGAGCTGACACTTACGGATTCTATGCTAAGCTCAGAGGTGCCAGGAACAGACTGATCTGAAGAAAATTCAAGGAGCGGGGGGTGTGACCGGGTTGGGGGACAGTTACGCAGCAATGAGCTACCCCCCGCCCCCCCACAGATGGGCCAAGACACAAGGGGGCTTTGTTCTGTGTCTGACTACCATATCCCCAGCTTTCACTTAAATCTCATTTTGGGTTTTTCTGAAGAAAGGCACAGCTACAAGACATAGAGGGTGGGGGCTTGGAGAGAGAAGGCCTTCCTGTGTCCCTTGGGGTCAGGGGCTCACATTTTCCTTGAAGCACCACCCTCTGCACTTTGATGGGGTGGGGTCCTGGCCAATCAGAGCACTTCATTCCTGCCCATGTGATTGGTCGAGGGGTAGGCACGTGACTCCAGCCGGGCCAATGAAAACCCTCTGGTGTTGCTAAGCTGTCTGGAAGTGGACCTGGGACCAGGAAGCCATCTTGCCACTCAGGGTGACCTTCCTTGGAGGAAAGTCCTTCCCCAGGGGAGCAGAGCCCGAGGCAAGGGGAAGCAGGCTTCCGATTGCTGAGTTCCTGGATCCAATCAAGCTCAAGACCAGATAACTAGGCACTTCCCGGATGCTG